ATATATATTTATACACACATGTACATACACACACACATATATATATATATATATATATATATATATATATATATATATATTCCATAGACCATAAGTTGTTAAAAATCATTTAGGTAAAATTCTCATGCTTATTTGCCCAAAGACCCCTGTTACTTGGTTAGGAAAAGGATATGATTGGTTTGGGCAGTGTGCGTGGGTCTTTATTAAATCTTTACCTGATATTGTGCACATCCATAGAAAATCTTCTCAGAGAGGAATGACTTCTCTCCACCCCATGTGGGTCAAATCCAGAATGCTGTCCTAGACCCCGCCCCCTCCCACTGATAAGCTTCTCCTGGTGCATTGAAAAGATGAGTTAGAATCCATCACGGACTAGTGGAAAAGATGCTGCATCAAGTTTAAAAGACTGGATCCTCTTACAGTTATATCTTCACTATATTATTTTTGCATATTCCAAACATAGTAGAAACATATAAAACAAAACAATATGTAGTGGAGGACCTCCATAGTTCCATCCTTCTAAGATAACCATTTATATATATATATGATTTTTAAACAAAGCATGAGCATTCTATCTGCTCTGTTCTAAAGCAACCCCTGATTGATGGAAATTTAGGGTGTTCCCGAAGTTTCTGTTACAACAACACCAGAAATAAACATCCTTGATCATATATCATCATGTACTTGTGGAAATCTTTCACTGACTGAATATCTAACCATAGAGCTGCTGGGTCAGACAGTACATACAGTGAAACCTTAGTAAATATGACTCAATTGACGCCTAAAGAGTTTAGAATTACACCCTCTCTCACAAAGCACGAGTGTGCCTACCTCAGCCACTCCCTGTCCTGCTCTGCACAGTATCACTCTTTCATGTCTTCGTCACTCTCTTGGATAAGAAAACATAGCTCTTGTTTTTATGTTTGGGGATTTGAGACCCTTGAGGGATTGAGCCTTTATTCACCCATTTTTAGTCATTTTAATTGCTTTTGCCATTAGTTATTGTCTACCATTCACCTTCATCTCACCCCCATTATCTGGTTCTATCACTTTGGGCAAGTCAATCTCTCCGAGGCTCTGTTCATTGTCTACACATTGTCCAAATGAGGCACATCCAAGACCTGTGCATTTTGTTTGTCCCTTTCTCTCTTACCTGATTTCATCTCTGTCCCATTTTGAAATGTATTGTTAAAAGCTAATTAAAATAAAACAAAGTAAACTCATTACTCTCATGCAGGTATCAAAATGAACATGTGTTAAAGATTTTACTTCACTCATTTGATGAGGGAACCCAGCAGGTGTTCTACCATTTCAGAAGGAAAGTCAGGAGGCACAGATCTACATGGAGTAAGGGATGGAACTGCAAATGGTGGGGAAAGGGACTTTTCCCAGAGGGAAGAAGAAAGTCAATTGAAACTCTACCAGATGAGACAAATGGTATCTGTCTATCAATTTTTAAAGAGTTGTAAAATAGCTTAAGGAGCTATGAAAGGCTAGAGTCTAAGAACACAGAAGGGTAGGCTATGTGCAGATAATGTATAGTTTTCCATTGAAATACAATTGTTTTTCTACAGATCAAAAATAACCTCAAAAGCAGCTGACTAAGTGGCTCAATTGGTTAAGAGCTCACTCAAGAGTGTGAGCTCTGAGCAACAGCAGTTCAATTCCCGGCCCAAACTGAGTTGCCAACAGGTGGCAGGATGGCTCAGCTAATTAAAAAATAAATAAATAAATAAATAAATAATAATAATCTCAAAAGATTATCTTGATTACAAAATAAGATTGGTGTTAGTGGATGTGGCCTGGTTGCTCACATAGGTGCAGTGAGAACACTACTTTACCATATAGGCCTTCTTTCATTTGCTTTGCTGGACGTTTCCATAAGGAATCTCAGAATGGGCTTTTAAAGGCCTCTTGCTATTTGCTGCTCTGAGGTTAGAGATTTTGTAATCCTATTTATTAATACTATTTGGAAGTAAGAAAATGATTACACACTCACACGATAAGAAGGAAAGGCCTTTCTGAATTTTAGTTACATACATGCAGACAGAAGGAGGGAGAAAGCTTATAACTTCCATTCTAAAATCTCAGCCTTGGGTCAAGAGTCAACACAGAAATATAAAACTCACCAGTCTAGATAGCACTTTCCTGGTGGGCATGAAATTCTTCATTGATTTGCTCTCTAAACAAACAGAAAAGATGAACAACACACCAGATTCTCTGCCATCTCTCACCCAGCAGACAGCTCTGTAAACTATTAATCCACTTCCAGAGATCATCAAATAATCAGATCATAAAAGCAAATTCTCAACAATTACTGGGAAACAACTGTTGGTCACAAACAATGTAAAACCAAAACACAAAACATAAAATTGGTAGAGAGGAAATTTATAATCAGAAAGGCAGCCAGTAAGCCAAGTTCTAGCACCATTTTGGACTCACCTTTGGAGCCCAGAAATGACCAGCTTGGGTATAAACTGCCCACGAAGAGCGCTTCTGTGCTTATGAGGTTTTCCTGGGCCTTGTGGGTGAATCCATTGGGCATCTCAGCAGAACCTTTATCACTGTTCAAAGGAAAGGTAAAATCATGATTCTCATATGGATATAAAAATGAGTATGTGTTCAAGGTTTTATTTTACTCATTCAGTGAGGAAACCAGATAGATGTTATAATTGGTGTAAAGGAAAAGTCAAAAGGCGTAAGTTTCTATAGGGTAAAGGAATGGAATTACAAATGGGGGCAAAACTGGTTTTTTCCACAGGTGGATGGGAAGTCAATTGAAACTCCATCAGATAGAATGTGCATGTCAATCAACTTACAGTCTTAGAATAGTTCAAAGATTATAAAAGCCTCGAATACGCATAATAACCCAGAGGATATGCTGTATGTTAATAATATATAGTTTTTCTTTGAAACACAAACTTATTTTTTCTAGTCTGTTCTTTTGGATGTCTTTATATTCATCTGCTCATGGTAGACGCCATAAATATTTAATTACTCTTCAAATAAAGCCTGGCTCTCCTGTGACTAGCCGTTGAGAAAACATTTCTACATATGTGGTAAATGCAAAGTGTTTTTATTAACACTTTTCCCCTCTATATGATACTGAGTTACTGGTTCATTGATTTTTTTTTTCTTTTTAAATTTCTGTTAGTTGTTTGGGCATCATTTATAGATAATATGCAAAAGGAAATAAATTGCTCATAGTTGGGAAATATTGAAGTTACATGCAGAAGTGGAGGGACCCAAAACTCATTTAATTATTTGATTGATTGATTAATTGATTTAATAATCAAATCACTTATGGGTTGTTCTCCATGTGCCGGGCACCACACTTGAAGAAACGGTGGTTTCAGCTTTCAAGAATTCTACATTTATCTGGGGCAAGGAAATAATTTGCAGAGAGTGGTGAGGGTATTATAAAGCATGTAGGCCAGGAATGTCTTGAGAGCACAGTCTAGAAGTCAGAGTCACCTAAGACACCTACGCTCAGTCTTCAAGGAATTAGCAAGGTCAGGGACGTTTGTAGGAGAATGTTTCAGGCAGAATGAGTAACACGTGCGTGGGCTGGAAGGCAAGGGAGCAGGCATCAATCTGGAAATGATGATGCCTTTTGTGCGGTTGAGGCATAACTGTGAGAGGGAAGGGGTGAAGGGGCGGAAACAGGGGCAGCCGTGGCGAGCCCACTGTGACCAGCTCAAGAGTCAGGGCTGTCTGTCTAGGTGCAGCTTTGTAAGCTAGGGAGCTAGCCCCACAGTTGAATTTGCACTTTAGAAAGATCGCTCAAGCAGCAGGGTGGGGAATGGATTCACTCCAATATTTCCCAGTGTCTGTTTCATTAATGATTTCGCACAGTTTTGTAGCTGATCTCAGGTCCCCCCTGCAATCTTTGTTGACATTGTTTGGTCCATAGCCACAGCTTGGCTGCATTTTGACTGCAAGGCTGTGACTTGGGGTAGAGGAAGAGTGAAAAGAAATGAAAGGAAAGAATGATCAAGTGAAGCAGGGGTCAGCAACCGTGACTTGCAGGCCCAAATCAGCTGCCTGTTATAAACAACACTTAATTGGAATAGCCACACCCACTAGTTTCTGGATCGTCTATGGCTGCTCTGGTGTCACAACCGCAGAGCTGAGTAGTGGTGACAGAGGACATGGAATGCAAAGGCTATTTACTATCTGGCCCTTAGGAGAAAACGTTTGTGGACCCCTGAGATGAAGGGTGAAAATGGTTTATGTTAACTTATTTTGCTTATTCGCTCATTTATTATTTACTCCCTATATCCAAAACGATTCATGCCAATGTTTGTGGCCAGCCCAGTGCCAATGTCCACACCTTGAAAGCTGTGCTCTAATGATACTTGTGAAGGTGACCATATTAGCACCGTGTAGATCATCCATAGGACATGAATTCTTCTCTAAATCTTCCCAAAAGGAGCAGAAGGATCTGCTTTATGTGCTATTGAGCTTGATTATTTTTGTTCCAGGAAAGCTACTTGATAATAGACAACATTTTAAATAGTCTGAATAACCTTTGAGACCTTGAATTTGAAAAGATCCAGGACAGGAAACAGGTCTGGGGGGTTGAGTACAATAGCTGTGACTTTCCCTGAATTCCTGGTTTAATGTCTCTCTGGGTTTAGCAAAATGCCTTATTTGGTCCTTGACTAATTTTAACGTCTTCTTAAGAGTCCCTATTCCAAATAAGATTGCCTTGAACTGCATCAAATACGAACAGAGAGTACACGAGTACACGACTGGAAGCCATCAGACAGAAACACTTTATACAAGTGTCTCCAGCGTCTTCACCAGGTCCCCTCAGCCACCCTGAGCTAGGACACATCTGAAAATTTATGGAAGGGAAGCAAAAACCTATTTCAGGGTTAAACCTTTTGGAGTGTCTTCAGTGCTAGGCTCAGGAGGTGGGCTGGGATGCGTGCACCAGTAGTGTTTCCTTCCTAAGAACCTCCTTTGACTAGTTGAAGGCCAGAGAATAGTGACATTAAAAAAAACCAAAAAAACCCCACAAAAATATAAAAGTATTTCAGTCCTTGATTGAAATCATCCAACATTTTGGGAAAAGTCAATTTGCATAACAGTTGGTGTTTCCCCTCCTGGTGTTAAACCCATCTTCCCAAAGCTGTCTTTTTGGATCCCTTAATCAAGTTTCCTGCCTTTTCTAGACAGCAGCCTAATTGCTTCTGTCCTGCAGAAACCCCTCACCGAGAAAGAGATTTAATTTGTACCCTAATCCAATATTTTTATGCAGTATGGTAAAACACTATTAACTTGTTACAGTATTTTGTCAGCCTCATCATTCGTCTCCTAATAGAATCTCTTCCTTTGATCTTAATCCAACTTCTAGTTTTTTTACTTCCTCTGTCACAACTTCTGGTTTTATTTTTTTGACCCAGAATATCCTTTTCTGCCAGAGAAAAATCATTGTCATCACCATGAGAAATATTGATTGCCTGCCCACGGGGTGCCTTTCATTGTACCTGGTGCTGTGGGGTTTTACCAGATTTCATTAGCTTTCTTCTCTGATGCAGAAGAAAAACAAAACAAAAATACACAAAAAACCCCACACTTTGTGTCATTCCGTATATTTGGAGAAAATGAAAACCAGTATCCCAAGTATGACCAGCCACTAATATAGACCCAAAAATGGGTGATTCAATTAGAAATGTATTAAAGCCAGGAAGGACATTATGCCTGAAAACCTGTTTGGTTTTCTGTTTCATGTCAGCGTGACTTTCGCTTCCGTCCCTTTTCCTTTTTTGCCCCCATCTGGCCTTCTGACAGTAGCAGAATGAGTGTTAGCTGTGTACTATTATTTGACATCCTTCTTTTTATAAAATTGAATTTCTTTTGATAAATGTCAGAAGGGGACACACATTCTTCAGTAAAATGAGCTGAGCCTGGAACAGATTTGTCACTGCCACCTCCCCCGTCTTCTCTTTTGCTTCTGACAAATACAGTATGTCCTGAGCTTGTCTGTCCTTGGTGACCTTAAAGAAATGGAAAAGTGATCCCATCCTTTATGATTTCAGCACAGTGAATTGTCATAGATGGCAAGTTAGAAATGATTAAAATGTTTACATATTCTTCCTCTGTTGCTGTCCATTCTGGGAAAATGTACAGAAGGATGGCACAGGAAGCCTTGTGAAAAGCTTTATGTTAAATAAGGCTATTCTGCATTTTGGTTTAGAAACTTGTAATCCTATAAAGAGTCTATTAGTCTTGATTTCACAAATCCTTTTCGTTTCCCAGTAGAGGGATCAATTTTAAAAACAGCTGATTCTTGGTCATAGACTCTCCTTCTATATGGATCATGTTAAAAAGAGAAAATTCACATGAAACAACATTTAACTTTATTCCAGTGTAGGGGAGGAAAAATATATTTTTCCTCTACCTTTTAGAGTTCTCTGTTGGGACCCGGGTAACAAAAGACAAATTAACAAGAGAAAAGCATAGAAATTTATTTAATTGAGTTTTATGTGATATGGGAGCCTTCCTAAGGAAATGAAAACTCAAAAAAGAAATGGGTAAACCTGAGTGTTTATGCAGGTTTGATGAAGAGTGGAAAGGTGCAACAGAATAAAGAGCATGAGTAAGAGTAGTCGTGTGTGTGTGTGTGTGTGTGGGGGGGGGCTGGCAGGGGGGACAACTGAACAAGGCCTGTTCCTTGGGATTCCTCTCTGTGTCCCTTTATCTTTGCAGCTAAGGACATTCCTTTGCTTCAGGTGCAGGCGGGGCACTGCTCACATGAGGGCTTACGACCTATTTCAGGGGAAGGTCAAAAAGTCCTTCCTACATGTGCCTCTTCTCACATTCTTTCAGCTTGAAATAGTTAATATGTCAAGAAGCCATCTGTTGGGGTAGCCTGCCCGGAACCCTGCCGCCACTAAGTAGATCCATCTTTTTCTAAGAATATGGTATTATTGTTAGCTAGTCCAATGTCAAAACTGACCCAAAGAACAGAAACAGTGGATAAAATGAGGATATTACTGTAGTGGACACAAGGTACTGTGTTATCCTATTTTCAGGTTGTTAGTCCCAGAAATAATAGGAAGTCCTTCTGTCCACGATAAAACATCCAGCCCAAGAGAAACCTAATAAGAGTTTATTTGAGCCAAACTGATGACAATTGTCAGGAAGCAAAGTCTCAATGGATTGGGAAAATGCTCTGGAAAACGGCCAGTTTGCAGCTTATTTTATACATTAGAATCAAAGGAGGAGGGTTACATGAAAGCCATTGGTGGTAGATTAAGGGGGTGGAAGAAAGCAAAGCCGGTGGTGGTGGTGGTGGGGGGGGGACCTCTGGGATTGGATAAAAAGTAAAATGGAGAGACACACTTCTTTTGCATTGGTGGGTACAGCTTAGTTAATAGCCTTTTACAGCACATAGAGATAGTATTTGGGGAACAAGATAACAATGAGGGATTTTGTAGTTTCCTGCTCCGGTGTGGTGGGTTGTGCCCCCTGGGGGGGTGTCCGGAAAAAGAGATTACTCTGATATTGCAAGGGCATGTTATCTTAGATGCAAAAAAGACAACAGACAGGCTCA